GGGTTTAGGGTTTAGGGTTCCGTAGAAACACATGAGATTCGATGAGACGTGGCGAAAACAGGGGCCGGCTGCGAGCAGTCATAGCATAGCTACACTGCAGCTACACATGGAATATACGAGGATACTGTTACTAATGATTCAGACCTTTGCTATATGATACAGCAGTAATTGCATCCATCTGCTTCTCTGCGGATCTTTGCTATCGTTGTTGTCTGTGGTGACACGGAGCCCCGCATCTCGAAGCAAACTCCCGCATCCAAGCTGCATGCGTGCCAACCGGCCGGCCAACAACTCGTGAAGGTTTTCCAGGGTTTCGCATACTGCGGGTATTGCCACAAGCCTTAACCGTAAATACTTGGATGAGTTAGGGTAAGTTGTCGCCCTTAGCCGCCGAAGGCCTCTATAGTTTCAGTGCTCGAGGCTTCAAGTTTTTTTTTTTTTTTTTTTGTGGGTTTTCGTCTCAAGGCCACTCAAGCCTCATCCCTAGTTTTCAAGGTTTGAACGTGGGATTCTGTCGCTGGCTCTCGGTCTTTCTAAGATGTGGGGCTTCTACTCTCGTTGTGCAAGCCCTTCTGTTTGTTCCTGCAGCCAGCCCTACAGGTAGGGCCGCCAGATACTCCATTCCAAGAAAGCCCTTAAACCTTTCACCCCTAAATCCCAAACCCTTAAACTCTAAACCCTAAAGCCTCCAAACCTTAAACCCTTCAACCCCAAAACCCTAAAACCCTGCAACCCCAAAACCCTAAACCCTTTAAGCCCCAAGACCCCAGACAAAACCCTTGCGAAGCTCCACTAGTCAAAGCCGGCTGGCCCCCTCTGAGGTGCGACTGGGCTCCGCAAGCCCTCCCTAATAAACCCTAAATCCTAAACCCTAAACCCTAAACCGTAAAGCCCTAAACCTTGACCCCTCAAGCCCCAAAGCCCTCAAAACCCTAAGAATCCTCACGCCCTGAGCTTTCTGAGGCACTCATTGGGTCCCTGAACCCCTGAACCCCTAAACCCGTAAACCCTTAAACCTTAAACCCTAAACCCTAAACCCTAAACCTTAAACCCTAAACCCTAAACCCTAAACTTTCCCTAAACCTTCTGAGGCAATCATTGGGTTCTGAAGGCGAAGTACTCCTCCGATTCCGACGTCGACCGGACCTTCGGCTTCGCCGGGCCTAACGGTTTAGGGTTTTAGGGCTATAGGGCCTCAGGCTCCAGGGGCTCCAGGGTTTTGGGGTTTTGAGGGTTTAGGGCTTTAGGGTTTGAGGTTCTGGGGTTTAGGATGTGTTGCGGCTGTTACGGGAGTTATTGGGTTTTGGGTGGGGTTACGGCCTTGGGGGATTCAGGGGAGTAGAGTTTCGATTTTGTTCGGTTAGAGCTACTTTTCCGATCTACCCCTAAACCCTAAACCCTAAACCTTAAAGTTGAAAGAGGTCCTAGGCTTCAGAGTTTACTTGTCAGGGTTTAGGGCCTAGGGCTTAGGATTTAGGGTTTGGGGTTCAGGGTTTAGTGTTGGGGTTTAGGGTTTAGGGTCTAAGATTCGCAGTTCAGAGCTCAGTGCTTTTGTTTAATACCGGTTGTGTTAAGAGGGCTGTTTTGGGGGTCGGAATAGTCATTCATGCTATCACCCAATATGATGAAAACTATACTGTAAGATTCCCCCAAGCCGCTTGCTATTGATTAAGGGCCCTTTTTTAGGGCGATTGAGGGCTCCGAACATCGCATCTGAAGCTCCAAAGGCTGCTGTCGGAATTGAAAAGGTTCGAAAGTAGGTTTAGGGTGGTGACGCCGGTGGAGCTTCATTCAGTTTGGTTGGTGAGTAAGATATGATATCGGGTTCGAGCAAGGTGTTGGGGTTTCCGGCTCGTCAGTTCGAAGTGGTTTCAGAATTTCGGGATGTAGGGTTTCATTCGTCCTTTCATTCAAGATCATCTAAGATTCACTGTTTTGGATTATTTGGGCTTGGGGCTTCCATGTTTAATTAGGTCTGGGGGCTTTGCGAGGCCTATGTGTTGTTGAGTATAGAACTCAGGATACGCACCTCTAGAACTCTGCCTCAACATCCCCAGCTGTTCATGACAAGTCTAGAGCCCTAAACCCTAAACCCCAAGTCTAGACCCTAAACTAACCCTAAACCCTAAGCCCGAAACCCCAAGTCATCCTAAACCCTAGATCCTCAAAAGATCCCTTATGGGTACCCTTACAGGTACCCTTTATACATCGGAGCCCTTTGAAGGAACCCTTACAAGGAACCCTTAACGAATCCTTACACCCTTGAAGGAAACCCTGGAGAAACGAACCCCTATAAGTTTCTGTTCACACGCTGCGCCCATGTTTGCCAGGACCAGGTCCAGGCCCCTACTTGGCGACCAAAATCTGCACATCAACGTGAAGTATTGAACTCTACCTCTCGATGCGGATGTTCGATCAAAACCTTTCTGGCAAGCCCTAAACCCTAAAGCCCTAAAGCCCTAAACCCTAAACCCCAAACCCTGATCAAACTTCCCTAAAGCCCTAAAGCCCTAAACCCTAAATCCGAAATCCCTAAACCCTCTACCCCAAACCCCTAAACCCTAAAGCCCTAAAGCCCTAAAGCCCTACCTGAACCCCAAATCCCAAACCCCAAACCCTGATCCCTAAAGCCCTAAACCCTATATCCCAAACCCTGATCAGGCTTCATGACCATCACGGTGCCCAAGGGAGCGCCAAGGTCGCACTGCCTTGGCCTGGGGTGCCAAGCTATCGGCTTAGGGTTTATGTTTAAAGGGTTTAGGGTTTAGGGGTTTAGGGTTTTAGGGGTTTAGGGTTTAGGGTTTAGGCTTAGAGTTTAGGTTTTTAGGTGTTTAGGGGAGTGGGGAGGTTGCGAATCCCCAGACCACAGGCCCTCTCAAAGTTTAGGTTTTAGGCCCCTTCAAGCCCAAAAGCTAGAAGCTTCAGGTGACTTTCGAAACCTTCCGCAACTTGCGAGTTCATGTTCGATTATACTGGACAAAGGCAAACCCGGCTTTGTCAGAAGTGCTCCAGACGATTGTCTGAACATGGTGTGAGGAGCTACGGGACCTTTTCCGCATCTCTATCCCGAAGTCCCACCCAGAAGTCCCTAATCGTCGTGGCCGCGGTCGTGGTCGTAGTCGTAGTCGTCGCCGGCGTCGCGGTAATAGTGGTAGAAGCAGTGGTGGTGGTAGTAGTAGTAGTAGTAGCAGCAGCAGCAGTAGCAGTAGTTGCAAGCTGTTCGCTCGCTTGCCCCGACTGCTTACATCCAAGGCACAGGGAAAGGTGATTGAGGCACGCCTGCCGTGTGCTGGGGACAAAGGGAGGGTTCTTTGCGCCTGCATGTTTAGTAGCAGTAGAACGCCAGAGATTGTAAGATTTGGACGTGGTTGGTTGTCAATTCATGTTTTTGGTTTAGGGCTAGAGTTTAGGGTTGCGGCGGAGGCTTTCAACATTGTCGGTGATCCTAAACCCTAAACCCTAAACCCTAAGCTCTAAACCCTAAGCTCTAAACCCTAAGCCATAAACCCTAAAATTCTAAAATCCTAACAGCGGAGCTGTGGGAGATTTGCCAGGGCACAGCGGGCCCTGGCTGCTCTCGGATGGGTTCAATCACCAGCCTAATACCGGTGCCTGAAGAAGTAGAGTTGAATAGACCCTAAACCCTAAACCCTATGACTCTAAACCCTAAACCCTATGACTCTAAACCCTAAACCCTGTAACCCTATAACCCTAAACCCTATAACCCTAAACCCCAAACCCTATAAGCCCCAAATAGGCTTCCTCTTGGATAGCCAGGGAGAACTTCAAACTCATGGGCCTCAGACTGCTAGTACCTCCAAAAGTTTGCACTTTGTTGCACCCGGTCTTTGAAGAAGAGAGTTCTTTTAAAGGTTTGCTATGAGGGGTACTATAAGCGTTTGGTACCGGGGGAGTAAGAATAGGGATTTGGGGTCGAGTATACTGCAAATTGAAAATACGGAGCCTCAAACCAGTCTTTGTGTTTGTTTAAGCCCCCTATAACCCTACGATACGCCCCAAAACCCTAAACTTAAGCTCTAAATTGCTGATCCGACGCCCGAAAACCTGGAGTTTTGGATTCAACGTGGGAGGACGAGTTGCCACTGTGTTGGGTTTTTTGCTTGTTGGGTTTCGGGTTACGGTTTAGGGTGTAGGCCTTTCGCTTATTGGATTTAGGGTTTTGGGTGCTATCCCCATGTAGCCATTCTGCAACATGCCCCAAAGCCCTACTCGAAGTACTACAGTAAGGCCCAAGACTGTCTCGGGCGAAGGGTCCAGGACACCCTGAAGAAAACAGCCACTCCTTTCATGAACCGTCCTTGGGTCTCAACTCCTTGGGGTGCGCCCAAGACAACAGAGGGTTTCCGGTTCAGAAGTCGCCGTACACACACACACACACACACGCACACACACACACACACGCACACACACACACGCACGCACACACACACACACACACTGCCCGAGAAAAAACGGTCGATTCTCGCCAAAGCCGCAAAGCTTCAGTGATCGCAACCCCAAAGCCCTAAACCCCAGACCCCAACGAGAACCCTTATGTAACCCGTGTGTAATCCACATTACGGGTTTAGAGTGCAAGGTGTAGGGTTTATAGGGTTTCTTTCAGGGTTTTAGAGGGGTTCCCATGGAATCCGCCACATGGCCGACGGTATGTCTCGACTTCGCCCGCCGGGCTGCTTGTCTGAAAGAGCCCTTACCCCCTATAAAAAACTGAACATAATTCGTAGAGCACCCTTTATAGACGCCTCCTTATTCAAGGTCTTCAGGAACCCTTGAATCAAAGACAGAGCCTCTGTTCCACGCCTTAGCATTGTGAAGCCCGGGGGTTTGGGTGAGGCTTCGGGTTCACCGCAAGTACTTAAGGACAGAGGACAGGCTCCCTACCTCTAAGGTCCCGGAAGACCTAAACCGGTAAACCCCACACCCGAAACCCTACAAACCTAAGGTCCTTGAAGCCCTAAATACACTGAAAGCCGGGCCGAGTCCTCCAACGTTGAAGTCTCGACTGACTCTCTGGAAGAAAAAGCCTTCTACACTTCAAGGTAGGGTTTAGAGTTTTAGGGTTTGCTACAAGCGTCTCTGAGCAATTCGCAATGACACCCGTGCAGTCCCTGTACAGCGTCGCTGAGTGGTTCGCAACGATACCCGTATAGTCGCTATACAGCGGTGCTACGACAAGCCCGGCACCCTATTCAGGCCCCTGTGTTATGTTCCTGAGTCATTGGGCTCTCTAGGTTAAGCTTTCCAGCAAGCAGAATGCTCACCGCTAGGGCTCTTCGCATAAGTGGAATTTCAGGAGCCTTTGATGGCTCCAGGTGCATGGCTTTACCAGGTCTTGGGTACTGTTTTTTGACACTATCTTAAGAAACCCTAACAAATATTTTTTGTCATTGCTCGGACGCTTATGGTAGTCTAGTGCTTCAGACACTAGCATCTGTCTTGGCTATTGGAATGCTTTGCGCTTTGGGTCTTTGGGTCGACGGTACACCAGGACATTGACAGGTAACCCCATTCAAGCAGTGGTAGTATCACCCCATACTCCCATACAAATATTATGGGAGAGTGGAGCCCCTAGCAGCCCGAAGCCGTATTCCAACCATCTAGGAAACTCTACCAGGACAAAACCTCATAGCAGCGTCATTCTGGTACACTAGTCTTTGCAAGCCTATGTGGCATTGTCTTCGCACAGCTTCATATCGGCATGGTGTTGCTAGTAGCCGTCGTCGTCGTTATAGTCGTAGTCCTAGTCCTAGTGGTAGCCGTACTCGTCGTAGTAAGTCGTCGTAGTAGTAAATAAAAAGCAGAAAAGGAAGAAGTAGTAGTACTAGTACTAGTGCTTAGTGCAAGCACTAGTACTAGATGGTACCGGACAGGACTAGATAGAACTAGATAGAACTAGATAGAACTAGATAGTACGAGATAGATAGATAGATAGATAGATAGATTGATGGATGGATGGATGGATGGATGGATGGATAGATAGTTAGATAGATAGATAGATAGATAGATAGATAGGTAGTAGTAGTAGTAGTAGTAGTAGCAGCAGCAGCAGCAGCAGCAGCAGCAGTAGTAGTAGCAGCAGCAGCAGCAGCAGTAGCAGCAGCAGCAGCAGTACGAGTTTATTGTATTCTGCAGCAAGCACCAGGGCAGCAACACATCGAGCCATCGAGCCAAGGAGATGATCATCGTGCCCATACTATCCTTCGTGTCCTCTCTGGTGAAAGGCCTGTGGGAACGAATTGTAAGCACCACAAAAGGTTAGTATAGGCTCTTCAATTTCGAGGTTCAGGGTTGGAAGGGTCAGGGCTCACAAGGTCACAGCGGTGTAGCAATGAAGTGCAAGATGCCCGTTCCTATGTGCTACCCTTTGTTTGATGGGGTTTAGACCCCTCAAACACCGAAGCCCAATAACTTATGCCATCATTACACATGTTACAACATGTTAAATCGTCATGTATACTACTCACTGTTCACCTGTATGATTGGAAGTCACACTCAATCAAACCACCCTATACTGAAAACCTGATTACACCCCATGATACTCAAGCCCGTGGCACTTTAAAACCCAACTCAACCTGAGCAGAATAAGAAGTCTGAGAAGCTACTACGGTTATGGGTTCCTCATTCTATTTCTACTAAAAAATCTACCCCCAAAACACTCTTCCAATTAGAAACGGCTCCGATATCAAAACTTCCAACTCCAGCACTCGAAGCGTCCCTTAGAGGACTGAGCGGCATGGGAGAGGCCGGACACGTTTGTTAGGATTGCTTAGAGGCCCAGGGGACTTAGTAAGTAGAGTTATAAGTACCTTCAATGGAGTTACCCCAGTTTTTGCCCTATGTATAACCGACTTACTAGGTTTCCTGGGCCTCGAAGTAGATTGGGCATTCCTCACCAGTTAGTTGCTTTACTGTAAGGTTTGGGGTTGAGGGTTTTGGGGTTGAGGAGTTGGGATTCGGAGGTTGAGGCTTTGGGGGTGTAGGGTTTAGGGTTTCGGCGCGTACCTTGGATCCTACTGTGGTGGTCCTAGATTTGTGTAGCGTCCAGGCTTCTGAGATTAGGGTGGTGGGTGCCAGTGTAAGTGGGATGGATTTTGAGCACTAGGGCGCACGGTTTTGGGCTAGATTAGACATCGGGGGTTAGGGTTTCTTGTCGCTGAAACCATTCAGGCTGTTCAGGGCGTCCAGGGTTGAACGAAGCGCGTCCTGCAAGACCCCACTTGCCCGAGCCTGTATCCCGCATAGTTGGTAGAGCCACCACCCTGAAACCTGAAACCCAAGACAAAATGCAAAGCCTAAAAAGCCCTGAACGTGGTTTCCGACGAGGCCCTCGTCTACGGCTCCGGCTGGCAGCTTTTCGCACTCGCTGGCTACCGAGAAATGGACGATTTGGGCCTTCTCGCAGGTCTCATCTGCGCCACTGCCTCGGTGAATTAGCGGCTTTCTACGCTTGTTCTTCAGGGCTTTAGGGGTTAGGGGGTTTAGGGTTTAAGGTTTAGGGTCTTCTTCTTATCATTATGTGTTATTGCAAGGAAATTCTTGCTGATTTGTCGTCATTGTGGATGAGTGGCGGCGGTGAGCTGCGAGACGCAGAGTCTTTTCCATGCTGAGGTCAGGGCCATGTGGGTCAAAAGGGATCTCTGCGGTTCTTCAGGCATAGGGATCGCTGGCACCAAGAACGCCCTCAGGCCCTGAACTGCAGAGCCTACAGTAGATCCTAAAGCCCCTACTTAGGCCTTTAAGCCCGAAGTCTTAGATTAAAACTAAAAAAAGGAAACGCCCCACGCAACAAGGCCCTCAAGCCTAGCAGTCCTCCATTCTCGAGCCTTAAAGCCCCGAGAAGCTCAACCCCACACGTCCCGAACCTCACGGGGCGTCGAAGGTCATGCAGTGCGCATCAACGGCCCTGCTTGCCATGCAAAATGGCCGCGAGTGGAGCCTCGGTTCACAGGTTTGGGCCGGGGCATGTGGGGTGGTTTAGGGTTTAGGGTCTGACCCAAACGCTCCTTTAGCCTTCCGCCGGATGCACGCGTTCTAACCCAAGATCGAATCTGGGTCAGGTTTGTCTCTCTGTCACGCATTCCGGCAGCGAATTGAAGGGGTTGATTCTTGAATCAAAGGGATCAGGCGGGTAAAACCCTTATAAACCTTTTTCGGATGCTATAATCCCTACGCATGTAATCCCAAAGGTTGTCCTTTAGTTACCCATGGTACTGGACAAGTAAACCCCAACGACCTGACCAGGACATTCCTGTTGGTCCGATGGTCCTGCAACTTCAAGACCCTTGTAGTAACCTTGACGGTACCCTTATACTACTGAACCATTATGGCACCCTTATAGTCAAAGTTAGTTAGTAAGCAACCCTTATAGTAACCTTGACGATACCCTTGTACTACGTAACCATTACGGTATACCCTTATAGTCAAAGCTAGTAAATCGCCCTCGAAATAACCAAGTCCACCCAGAAGGCCAGAGTCCTGTGCCCGAAACTCCGAATCCTTCAACCACCAGCGTTGACCCCCCATGCCCGTGGCCGTGCAAGCCCGCAGGGAAAAGTTGGGAGTTTCCCACCTCAAGGTTGAGGGTTCGAAAATACAGACCCCATAAGCCTAGATCTTCTAATATCCCGTTATTAACGAATATACCTTAAACTATAGTGGGTTCCTACTATTACTTAAGGTAGAATCCTTACGCGTCCTCAGTTGTAGGGGATATTGGAAGATTTTGGCAGTCGGCCCATGAACATAAGGACCCCCCAAAGAAGCCTAAACCTGGACAAATCCAGGTGGTGGTATGCGAAGCCTGGGGCGATTTTCAGCGTTGCCATGCTGCTGCTGTCGGCCGTCTGCAAGCCTGGGTCAGGGTATGGGCTCGAGGCGGCTATGTTAAATAAGATACAAGGCTCGGCTGTAACCCGATGGCATCGAGGCTTGGATGTAGTAGTGGTCGTCGTCGTCGTAGTAGCAGGTGGTAGTAGTAGTAGTAGTAGTAGCAGCAGCAGCAGCAGCAGCAGTAGTAATCAATAATAACAACAGAATAGCAGCAATAGTGATAATAACAGCACTACTAGTACTCATACTAGAAATACGAGTTATATGAATTATAATGATCATGATAATGATAATGACAGCTATCATAAATGCCATAATATTAATCAAAAACGTGACATTAGCAATGGTAACAGCAGCTGCTGCTGCAGTAACAGTCGCCGCAGCAGGAAGCAGCAGTACAGTAGCAGTGTTGACAGCGGTGGTTGTTGCGGTACTTGTTGTGGTGGCGCTGGTGCTGTTGCCGGTACCGATTTCCATGGGGACGATGGTAGTAGTAGCAATTAGAATTGTTGCCTTCAGTAGTGTCAACAAATAGTACCTAGCGTTTATAATGATCGTGACGCGGTCATCGCAACTATGCACCAAATGGCAATCAGACACCTGGTAATCTTGCACCTCTACTTCGTGGCTTTTGGTACGACCAACACCAGCTCACCAGCGGTGATAGTGCTGGTGGTAAGAGTTTCTAAACACAGCAGTCATGCGATTGGTCGGAACACACGCATACAAACGAATGTACACACAGATATATGCATATGTATTTATCTATCGTCCATCTAATCCAATCCAGTCTAATCTAAGCTAATCTAACCTAACCTAATTTAAATCTAATCTAATCGACTCTGATCTAATCTAGTCTAATTGTCGATCTATCTATTTATCTATCTGCGCGTCTATCTACCTAATGTGTCTATCTAGCTATGTGTCTATGTATCTATGTGCCTATCTATCTGTCGATTTGTCTACATCTGCCTCCCTATCTTTCTTTCTATCTATCCATCTATCTACCTATGTGTCTGTCTATCTATGTGTCTATCTGTCTAAATGTGTCTATCTAGCTATGTGTCTATCTATCTATGCGTCTCTCTATCTATCGATTTATCTATCTATCTATGCGTCTATCTACCCATGTGTCTGTCTGTCGTTGTGTCGCTCTATCGGTCTATCTATGTAGTCTAATCTAACCCAGTCTAGTCTAGTCTAATCTAACCTAACCAAATCTAATATTAACCTAATCTAATCTATCTATTCGTGTTTGCATATGCATGTATATTTTTGTGTATATCTCTCTCTACATGTGTATATATATATATATGGAGAGAGAGAGAGAGAGACACACACACACACACTAACATACATGTTTTTCGTGTATGCATATGCATGTATATGTTTGTGTATACCTCTCTCTGCATATATATATATATACATACATACATAGAGACATACACAAACGTACATGTTTTACATAAGCACACACAGAAATAAATAAATCTCTATCTCTATGTATATGTATATGTAGGTATATATACACTTTTTATAATACATATACACACATACAAATACGTACACACACACACTTATACTACTTATACATGTAAAGACCAAGAAATCGATCGTCGGCTCGTCTGGTTATTTGCTCAGTGCTGTACTGTTCACGATGTTCGCTTGCTCAGTAAGAGCCTGACGCACTGGAGCCTCCTGGCAGCCGAGGTCTCCTGTCGGCAACCATGTCAGGGAGGTGCCGTGCAATGCTGGGTTGGTAGGGATCTTCTGGATTTTTACGAGGGTTTCTAAAAGGCTTCCTGTGGCTTTATCGGGTTTTACAGCGATATCTGGGGTTTCGTGAGGATGCCAGATAGGCTCGCACAGCTCAGTGCTCAATGCTGTAGGGTTCAAGTGTCACGCCAGATACAGGTGAGTTCACTTGTGATTTCTATTTACTTGGCACATAGCAGCTGCATGCAGTCAAGCTGGCCTCGGTGTTCCGGGGTCATGGTGGATTTGCCAGGCATTCCTTCACGAATGGTCCACTAGGATACATAGCATGAGGACTTTGGGCTTGGGGTGCAAGCTAACATCTGTATTGACAGATCCTAAGCCCACTTCGCTCTTCACAAGACTGACCATGAAGTAGTGATCTCTGCAGCTTGGCATGCAAAAAGCACGGACCCTGCTCTCTCAAGTGCTTGGCATGGGCTTGGCATGTAGGTCTCCTGCCTGTGACCGTGCGAATAAGAAACCTCGGCCCTGAGCTCAAGTCACCAGCAGGCCTTGTCTGAAGAACCCCCGAAGGTCCGGAACCACAGGGTTTAGGGTTTAGGGCGTAGGTTTTTTCGGCTGGGACGTGGATGCAGGTGGCACCTACAGACACGATTCAACTTGTACTGGCGCTCACATTCCTGCGCCTTGTCTGTCTTCATTTCTATTCGAGCAGTCAGGGCGTCGTGTCCAGACGACGAGTGGTTTGTAATGTAAGGTATACAAATGCATATGTATATATATATATATATTGCATACAAAAAATAGCTCCTACATTATGCTATTCACAACTTCATGATAAATATATATGAATCGTGAAGTTGCGCATAGTCTGATGTAGGAGTTCTGTCATGAAACTGGTGTCACGTGCCATGCACTATTGAGGCTCCTCACTCTGAGGAGCCTTTGTTCCTGGCAGACTGATGGGTCTTAAAGAAGTTTCTTCCGTGCTCCGGCAGAAGAAGGGCCGACGGACTCTTTTTAGGGTTAGGGGTTTTCGGGTTTAGGGTTTAGGGTTTAGGGGTAGGGGTTTGGGGAGTTCTGACGAAGACTTGAAGAAGGGATCTTGTTTGGAGGGTTTATTCGAAAATTGATTCCACGAAAGAGCAACCCTTCTCCATGGTGTTATCAAGAAAGTGTGTAGGTATTGACCCTAGACCCCGCAACCCTAAACCCTAGCCCTGTGAACTTTCTGCTGACCTTTGTGACCGAAAATCCGAGCCATTTCCACACCCTTCGAACCCCTGCCCGCCACAAAACCTGCAGCCCGAGACCCGAAATCCTAGAACTCCCACGCTATCCAAGCTGCTTAAAGCCTAACCCCAACCCTATATCACTATACTATACTATGCTAAACCAGACTATACCATACTATACTACACTATTCTATGCTATTCTATGCTATACTATACTATACTACCTTAAAGCCTAACCCAACCTAAGGACCTTCGCTTTGGCCAAAGTCGCCTTCGACGGTTTGGTGGCCCTGTGGCGGGCGAAGGCCGGAGAGAGGGTCGAGGTGGCTCGTGGAATCTCGCGTGGTTTAGGGCTTAGGGTTTAGGGTTTTAGGGTTTTAGGGTTTAGTGTTTGGGGCTTAGGGTTGCGATGAGGCGATGACGGTGGGTTGGTGGCGCTGTCCGTGCCAGCGCGATGATGGCAGGGATGAGAATTGAAGATGCGAGGTGCTTGACATGATGTTGATGGTGATGGTCGGCTGCCCGTGCTGATGCTGGTAGAACATCGAGCCTCGGCAGTTGTCTGCATTGTTCTTTCATGGTCACAGGTCCTTTTCCCCCTATGCATATACATGTGTGCACTGCAAAGTA